CCGTCCGCAAAGGTCAGCCTCCCCGAAGCCTCCAATTGTCCCTTAGGACCAACAAAAGAGAGAACGGGCAAGAGAGAACGCCTCAATCGGGATCCACAAGCAAACATGTCCGAAAAACACTTCATAGACAATGCAAATTACAAACAGACTTTACAAGCTCTGAACAGTGGCACAACAAAGGGTAAAATGGTCCATTACAGACCGAAAAGCTCTCGCACGTGTCTATATGACACAACATTTATTTACAAGCCTAAAGAGGCCACCAACCCAACTAAAATGGGACTTATAAGCCTTCGGCTGCCCCTCTACACACTGTACAAGGCATGAACATGCCAACAGACACGGACAGATATAAGCATTACATCAAACATCCTGTTTCAAAGTTTGTCCGTGACAAACTTTGAAACAGGATGTTTGAATGATCACAACACTATCTCTTTACAATTCTTTCTCATTTTCACGGGTTTAGGAGATAACCCTTACAAACCTTACATCTTTTTTGAATGATCACAACACTAGAAAGGAATAAGGAGGACTCTTTATACTTTTACAACACTTTCACACCCCAAGACTTCAATATTTTCTTCATACTTTCGTTGTCCTTTCATGCAGAAAAGGGTGGGGTATTTATAGGCCCCACTGGCTTCAGAATTGGAGACAAAAAGTGTCACATCCACGGATTTTAGGGTACTGACGGTACCACCACATTATATTGTGACACTAGGTAGTACCACCGTCTAGTCTAGGCGATATGACCGCCTGATAGAGCTTGGAGACCAAGCTCTGGTGGTACCACCGCCTGGCAGCATTAACTGTCGATGGTACCATCGCCCAAACCACTTAGGAGACTTGAGTCTGTAGGCAGTGCCACCGTCGGTCGTGACTTCAAGTGTTGAATGAGCTATTCAACCGGCCCAGTTTAGCTCTGTTAAGGGCCCAATTGGCCTCTAATTGAGTTAGTGAGATTACCTTCCAATCTTAACTCAACTTAAGGTATAACTACGATAATTAAGATATTTAAATAGGCAATCTTTATCTGGTATGTCGATTGTTCTCTCGGCGATCTTCCGATGAACTTCTGGTGAACTTCCGGCGAACTCCCAACGAACTCTCAGTGAACTCCCGACGAACTCTCAGCGAACTTCCTACAAACTCTCGGCGAGCTCCTGATGAATTCTCGGTGAGCTTCCGGCAAACTT